GCCACCAACTTGTCAGCCTTGTGGAATGGGTGACTTTCAACTGTGGGGAAGACCACGGGGGAGACTGGAAAGAGAAGGGAACCCCCTTTCCCTCCTAGCAAGGTCCTGCACCAGCCAGAAACTTCCCTGTTTAGTGTTGTATGGCACGTCAAGAACAAAATTGGTGCCCAGGCATCATGGCTTACACCTGAAACTCTAGCAGTTCCTCAGGAGGGTTGACATACAAAGCCTAACCTTGGCAAAAAGTTGGAAAGACGCTATCTCAACCAATAGCTGGATACATTAGCATATGCCTGCCATCCCAGCTGCAGTGGAACACTTGCCTAGAAGAATCCCAGTCCATTTACATCCAGGCCCAAAAACCAAACCTGGTCTCAAAAATAAGCACAGGAGTCGGACGCCAGTGGCTCACGCCTGTAATCCTAGCTACTCAGGAGGCTAAGATCTGAGGATCACGGTTCAAAGCCAGCCCGGGCAGGAAATCCATGAGACTCTTATCTCCAATAAACCACTAGAAAACTGGAAGTGGCACTGTGGCTCAAGGGGTAGAGCGCTTGCCTTGAGCTGAAGAGCACAAGGACAGTGCCCAAACCCAGAGTTCAAGCCCCATGACCATCCAAAAAAAAAAAAAAAGCACAGGACCGGACACTGGTGGCTCATGCTTGTCATCCTAGCTACTCAGGAGGCTGAGATCTGAGGATCTCGGTTCAAAGCTAGCCTGGGCAGAAAAGTCTATGAGACTCTTTATCTCCAATTAATCACCAGAAAATGGGAAGTGGCGCTGTGGTTCAAGTGGTAGAGCATCTGCCTTGAGCCAAAGAGCAGAGGAATAGCGCCCAGGCCCAGAGTTCAAGTCCCACGACCAACAAAACAAAAATAAGCACAGCAAAAAGTGCTGAGGGCACAGCTTAAGTAGTAGAGCATCTATCTAGCTCAGTTCCAGCCCAGTACAGCCAAGAACAACAGAAAGAAGGGGCGGGGGTGGCGGAGTCTGGTGCTACGTCCTCAAAATGAAGCTCCTTCTCCAGGTAGGTAGCCTGCCTTCCCTGGGGCTCCGCCAGTATGCACTGGCAGATGACTGGTAGGTGCTATCTTCTTCAGGCTGTGGTTCACGAAAGCTCAGAGCTGAGTGATCTTTATGCCCCATACCTGGAAGTCTGTCTCCTGTCACCTTTACATGGACTGTGGGCCTGTCATCTGGTGGCTTTGTGTGGGGGCTTTGCTGTTTTGCCTGCCTGGCCTGAGGGTTTGGTTTTAATTAGAAGCGACTGAGGTCCATGATGAAAGCTGAATGAGTATTGGTGGGGCAAGGAGAAATCTGCGCTGAGTGGGGACTGTGGAGTGAATTCTGAGCCTGACTGAGCCCGAGCGGAGGCCTCGGGAGAGGGGGCCAGTGTGGGCAAAGCTGGACTGAACCCAAGGTTCGGACTCCATGCCCAGCACACTCTCTATCAATGGACCTAAAATAGAAGGCTGGCTTTGTGGTGGTTTGTGCTCCATAAGTGCCAGAGAATTATTCATTAGTGCGTCTTCCCTGAACCACAGGCAGCACGGAGCCAGGGGCCATGGAAGACCCCGGGCCACCCCTGAGCGGCCCGGGACATGGCTCATCAGTGGTGTATGCCCGGCCCCGGGAGGTACGTAGAGGTCCTAGGAAGTCTGGAGTGGGGAGGGAGCCCAAAAGGCGAAATCAGAGCCAGCCTTGAATCTGTCTTCACCATGTTCTCCTCTGGGCCAGGCAGGCAGGAGAGCCTGAGGCACCTTTCCCCATATTCTCATATTGCAGCTTTTTTAAGCATTGTTCTAGAAGTGCAATCTTCCTTTATGCCAACATTGGGGATGGGGGTCACGGAGTTTTGAACTCAGAGCCTCACGCTCATTCTCCACTTGAGCCATGCCCCCAACACAGCACTTTTTGCTTCCATTTGTTTTTGACTTAGGGCCTCACTAACTTTTTGCCTTAGCTGACCTCAAATGGCAGTCTACCTCCACTTCCCAAGTAGTTGGGATTACAGACATCCATTACTGCACTCAGCTTCACCAGTATTTTTTGTTGTCACATTAGAATTGCACCATGGGGCTGCATCAGAAGCCCATTTGCCTTCCTCTCTTTATTGGGCACAGCCATGGGTCATAACAGTTCCCTGATCAGCACATGAATGCACCGCCATCCTTGTTCAACGTGCAGATCTGCTCATAGCGACATCCACAGTGTAGTTCCTCAATGGGGAGATGGTCAGAAGGAATGTAAGGCCCAGCAGCCTTTGGTCCACATTCCACAGGCTACTGTTGAGACATACTCCGGGAGAGCCACGATTGGAACAAGCAGACATCCTTCAGAGCCCTTGCTCCGTCCTCTGTGGTAGATCTGCATGTCTGCGACACTTGGCAATCCCTGGGGGCTAACACAGCCCCGGAAGGCCGGCACCTCCGCCAGAGCCCGTTCATCCCGGATGTCTCCAGGGTGAAGCAAGAACTAGAGGCCAGGGCTCTTGGCCAGCACAGATTCCCTCCCAGAGCAGTGGCCACCTCAGTTTAGAAGAGAACCCTTCAGACCGCAGCAGGCCAGGGCACCCAGAACAAAGAAAAGACCACTGCGCCTTCGTGGGCTTCCATGTAATGGAGGAGGGAAGTGGGGCTTTAGCAGCTGCAGATAAGAGAAATGCCCTCCTGGCCTCTGCCCAACCCCCTACACGTGCATTTTATTGCCAGTCTGGAGCCTCAGCCAGATCCATCCCCCAAGTTCATGCTGAGGCTCAAAGCCAGGGCCTGCTACACACCAGTGCCCGCACTGCGATTTCCCCATAGCACCTGCTGCCCCCTGTATGAGATGTGTCCTGGTGGCAAGCCTGGTGCCAATAACCCAGGCCTTTACCGAGAGCAAGACAGAAGGCCTGTCTTCGGAGAAGGAGCGTGTGGCTGCTGGAGTCACAGCCCTGCCACCGGTCCACTCGAGCTTAACCCCTATCCTATTGTAACACTCACCGCCTGAGTTGGCACCTCTGATAAATAGGCAGCCGGGGAAAAGCCTCCCAACACTTTGATTTGTGGAGGGGTAATTCATTTTCCAGGCAAATAAACAGCTTGTAAACTCGAGGGTTTACCACTTCAAGTGATTAAGAAGTGAGCAGCTATAAAACTCCTCGCGTGAGGCTGTGGCTAATTGTCCCTGTGGAATTCTGCTGGCCAGCGTCAGGATCTGGCGGCTGCTACCCACAGTCCCTTGCGTGGGCTCCCCGCCACACACCGCCTCTCACAGAAGCTTCTTTCTAAGGACACCGGGGAAGCTGTTCAGCCCTCTTGCCACAGACAGTGGATGACATCGGGCACCAGAGACAGGCTGTGCACCTGCCTTGCAGGGCTACATGTCAGAACATTTGTACAAATAGCCCCTCCTTGACCGCCAAGTGCAGGGTTTGGCTTAAGTCCCCAGAAAGGGGAGGGGAGAGCACAGCACACCTCACTAGATGAAGGGAAGAAGACCAGGGAGGGCAAAGTGTTCCCCGAGCACCCCATCTGGGCAGATGAGCAGTGGGGGTTAAACCCCAGACTTCCTTGAGCTGGGCCCAGGTGGCTCACGCCTGTAATCTCGGCTACTTAGGAGGCTGAGATCCGAAGGTGGGTATTTAAAGCTATCCCGAACAGAAAAGTCCATGAGATGCTTCTCTCTGCTTAAACAGCAAAAAAGAGTCATGATTCAAGTGGTAGAACACCATCCTTAGGCAGAAGAACCCAGGGCAGAAAAAAGACCCTGAAATTCAATTCAAGCCCTAGTGTCTACACACACACACACACACACACACACACACACACACACACACACACACACACACACACACACACACACACACACACACACACACACACACACACACACACACACACACACACACCACACGTGTGCTCGCTTCCCTGGGGCCATCCCCTGATTCCATTCTCCACACCAAGTCCTTGGGCCCTGTTTTTGCTTGGACACTGTTCAAGGCTGTGCATGCCACATGGTCTCTACGGCAACTATCTTCTGAGTGTGAGAGCTGGGGCAGGGTAAACCCAGTTCTGTGGCTAGATTCCTGTAAAGGCAGTGTCTGCGGTTTGCCAAGTACTGTCCACACCTGCCACCTCTCTGAGTTCTGAACGAGGTGAAGGCCAAGTGCAAAGGAGATAGCAGCCGGGAGCCGTCTCCTCTTGGTGCAGCTTCTGAATTAGGGGCTGGTGAGGGTTTCTGGGTATTGAGACGATGAAGTCCGAACCACACCCCTTAGGAAAAGCAGTGTGCTAAAGGACAGACCCCGCAGAACAGCGCATGTCCTGGAGGAGGCCTCAGGCTGGACAACAGAGGCTGAGGGCTGTCATGGAGAGAGCATGCTTCCAGAGTGTTCTCCGGCCGCACTCTGCGTCTGTGCTGGCCATGCTGAGAAGCCTGCTGACCCCTCCCCACACACACGGGTCAGGAGAGTGGGCAGCAGGACACAGTCATAAACTGGAAAGCTCTCCCCACCCCTCACCCTCCCCACCCCCCACCCCCCCCAGCCACAAAGCAGAGCAGAGAGGGCTGGGGCTCCCGTGCGACCCAGGGTGGCTTCCAGTGTGAGTCTGGTGCCTTGCTTTGGCAAAGTGGGTCAGGACAGCAGAGGGATGGCCAGCCTCTCTGTGGGGCTTGGTGGGGGGTCCTGGAAGCCCTTTCAAGGGCACAGCCAGGGGTGCTGAGCCAGGCCCCGCCCCTTCCCAGCCCTACCCCCTCCCAGCCCCACCCTGGCCTGAGGCTGGCTGCTGCCTTCTCTTGAAGTAGACCAAAGAAGCCGTGTGTGTGTGTGTGTGTGTGTGTGTGTGTGTGTGTGTGTGTGGACAGCTCATCTCTGGAGCCACAGAGACACGCAGAGAGCTGCCTCAGCCTTGAAGCCCCTGTCCACTGGGGCGCTCACCCCCCAGTGCCTCCCCCCGTGTGGGGGTACGCTGCCCTGCGGGCCTGCCGTGCCCACGCCCGCCCTCGTGTCTTGCAGGCTTCGCCGTGGCCCAGTGCATAAACCAGCGCAGCGCACCATCCCTGTCATCGCCATCCCCGCCGACGGCCAGCGGGAGCCCCAGCGGCAGCCACTGCGACTCAGGGGGCTCGTCCTCTGCACCCTCGGCAGCCCAGAGCCCAGCAGGTACGGGCCGCGGACTCGATGGGGAGGCTTGGAGACCCCGTGACCCCTTGCCTCCACTGCGACCTCTGACTGCCCCCCCCACACACACACACACATGCTCCTCTCACGCTGGGCGGATGCTGCCACCAGGGGTAGCAATATGTGGTTCCTGCCCGTCCCCTGGCTGCAGCACTAAAGGGGCTTGGGTGACAGGTGACGGCCCCAACACTCCTATTACCACCTCCAGAATCTCTGGTGTCACCAGGACCATCTCCAGGGGCCACTCTTTGAATCCCAGAAAAAGAATCCATTTCCTCTTTCAGTGTTTGGTGGGGTCCAGTTGCCCCCCGCCCCCTCCCCCGCACCCCCGTCCCACTGCCGCCTGTTTGGATTTTGTCAGGATGGGGTGGGGTCAGATCTCACTGTCCCTGAACTTAGACCAAGTCAGACATGCCACAGAGTAAGCACAGCCGCAATGCAGCCAGCCGATGGGGCTCGAGCCAGGCCAGGCCTCCCGACCTCCAGCCAGTGGGGTGTTTCACACCCCAGCAGCACCCCCGCATAAGATCCAGAGGGCCCCAGGGACCCCCAGTCCACATCCTGAGTTAGAGACCCTTCGTGATCTCTCTTCCTACAAGCTCTGACCCAGAACCCTTGCCCATCATACATCAGGGACCCTGACTTGACTCCTGCTCGGTTTTGGAGGTCGTAACGGGAGTCACGGCAGGGCACGGGCCATGCTGCCATCCCTGAGCACCAGGAGCGAGGGGTCCCCAGGCACCGCATGATCCAGTTCTTACCTTCCCAGCCGAGGGCTAGCCAGCTGGCACCTGCAACCTGCGCCTCCCCTGCAAACACCTGCACCAGCTCCCATAGATGCCAGGGGCAGAAAAGGCCCCTCAGCCACCTCACTGTGAACCCCTGCCACTCAGGGGCTGCTCCTCTCCCTGCCAGCCTGGAGCACTGACCACACTATCTGAGGGGCTTCTAAACCCAGTGAAACGTGGCCTCAGCTCGAGCAGTTCTTCGCTAGGAGGTGCAGACAGAGCCCTCAGGTGCCGGGACCTCCCCTTGGCTCTGCTTGATTCTGGCCTCATGCTTGACCCAGATCAAGAGTGCACGGTTGTGTTCATGTGCTGATATGCACACACCTTCTATTGCGTGTGGGCACTTCAGAGTCTGCGTGCACCCAAACACACCGTCCCAGTTGCTGCTGAGGTGAAAGGTCTCTTCCCAGGCGGCAGCCATGCCTGTCTTCCAGGTGTTTTGTTTTTGTTTTTTGGGGGGGGTCCGGTCGTGGGGCCTGAACTCTGGGCCTGGGTGCTGTCCCTCAGCTCTTAAGCTCAAGGCTAGTGCTCTACCACTTGAGTCACAGCGCCACTTCCGGCTTTTTTCTTTTTGCTTATGTGGTGCTGAGGAATCGAACCCAGGGCTTCAGGCATGCAAGGCAAGCGCTCTACCACCGAGCCAACTTCCCAGCCCCTTTCCAGGTGTTTTGGTGGGGGAAGGTGTTTGGTTTGGTTTTTATGCTGGTACCAGGACCTGGGCACTGTCCCTTAGTATTTTTTTCTTGCTCAAGCCTGTCTGTCTACCACTTGAGCCACAGCTCCACTTCCAGCTTTTTGGTGACTAGTTGGGGATGAGAGTCTCATGGCCTTTCCTGCCCAAGCTGGCTGTGAACCATGATCCTCAGATCTTAGCCTCCTGAGTAGGTAGAGGTACAGATGTGACCGGCTCCTATCTCCCATTTTTAAGGAAGTCCAGATAAACAGCTGTACAGCAAACAAATAAATCAGATGCTTCTTTGCCTAAAACTGAAAGCAGCCAAGAGCCACATGAGCACGATGGCTCTCAGGCAGCTGCTCGCTTGCCCCTCCCCCCCCCCACCCCCCCCCCCCCCCCCCCGGGCCTGCATCTGTGGTACGCAGTTCTTGGCCACTTTCCTAGGCCCTCCTCAGCCTCTCCTCCCCCACCATTCCTCGCACGGTTGCCAACAACACGTCTTCTCTCAAGATGGGCGATTTGCCTGGTTGTCAGGTGGCCAGGCAGTTCTAGGTGATAAGTAACAGGATCTCCAAGGCATCTCCCCAATTATTGTGCCCACAGCAGGCTTCAGAGGCTCACCCCAACAGTAAAAACCTAAAGCCTAGCCCAGCCACCAGCCCCTGCTCCACAGCCCTGAGATACTGCGCCTCCTGATGAAGGGCCGCCTAGCGGGAAACTCATGATTTCCTTGGGCCAGGAGTACCACCCTGGGATACAGCTATTGATCTCTGTGAGGAGAGAGCCCTGAGCCACCGGGTCCACCCAGAATCTGGCGTCCAGTCCCTGCAGTGGTGATCTGAGCACATAGTCCCCTCCCACACACAGCCCGAGGGACTCAGAACTGACTTGAGATGGCCAGTGGCCTGGTCTGCCGCTGGCTCTGAATGATAGTCCAGTGTTCAGGCCCTGATCGGGCCAGGTGCCTGCATGGCATGCTGGCCAGACTTTACAGGGCCAGTCGGGCAGCAGCATGGGCCAAAGAAGGCCTCTCCCCAGAACCCATCTACCTCACCACCCACCACTCACTCCAAACAGCTGCAGCCCCACCAAGAGCCACTGGTGATTCAAGTGGTTTTTGAGAGCACACGTTCAATCAGGAACATCCCCAACCCTGTGTTTAGCTTCCCAGAGTTTAGAAAGCTCCCTGATGTGGATGGGAGCCATCAGGCCTTTGAAAGCAGAACTGGCAAGCCCAGGGACTTTTCCACTCACACTTTGCAGGGCTAGCTGTTTGACTAGGAGCAAGCTCAGTTACGCGAGATCTAGGTCAAGTGTTTCATGCCACAGTCGGGCGGCTAGGGCTCCCTGGGACTTCTGTGTATTTCAGAAGAGCAGACTTTGACTGTTCCTAACAAATGATGATCACATGAGGTGCTGGAAAAGGTCCTCACGTTTATTTCATTGTTAAACATTGTACACATGGACCAAAGTGTCACTCTGTACCCAACACAAACCAACAATTGCAAATCAACCTAAAATTACATACACACACGCAGATACTGCTGGGCATCAGTGGCTCATGCCTATAATCCCAACTGCTCTGGAGGCTGAGATAGGAGGATAGCAGTTCAAAGCCAGCCTAGGCAGGAAAGTCCATGAGATTTTTTTTTTTTGGGGGGGGGTCCAGTTGTGGGGCCTGAACTCTGGGCCTGGGCGCTGTCCCTCAGCTCTTCAGCTCAAGGCAAGCGCTCTACCACTGAGCCACCTTCCCAGCCCAAGTCCATGAGATTTTTTATCTCCAGTTAGCCACCCAAAAGCCAGAAGTGGAGCTATGGCTCAAGGGGAAGAGCTTGAGAAAAACAAAAAAAAGCTAAGTGACCGAGCCTTGGCCTTGCACCGTACCCCTTGAGGCACGCCCCCAGGCTTTTAAGAATCAGTTTTGAAGAGTTGGGGTGACCCTCACCCTGTCCTGGCGGTCCCCGCTGATCATACTCCCTCCCGGCAGGCATGCTGCAGGTGTCCCAGCAGCTGCTCCGCCTCGCTCCTGGCACCGGGCGCTTGATTGCACACACACCTTCAGCCCCACACAACCTCCCTTGTGGGTCAGATGGAGCCAGGCAGCCTGAGGCCGGCCGATGTCACTGAACTCAGTCTGCTTAATCCAGTGGAACTTTAAGGACAGAAACCCCCAGGGAGGGATAGTGTCTTTCCTCCACTTTTTTCTGCGGCATTATCTGTTTATACAACAGAAGGTGGGCCATCTTGGCCATCTTTAGCCACGTCGTCCTGTGGCATTTGGCGCGCACTCTTGCATCCGGGGTGCCCTGCTGCGCCCGGTGTGCCCTCAGTTGCCTGCGGGATCGTGGCTCCCCCTCCTGGGTGACCTGCCCGTAATGTGTTGCTGCAGCTGATGAGCACCCACCCTCAGCCACTGGGCCTGGCCTCAGTGCTCCCAGGAGAGGGAGCACTGGCCTCAGACCCAGGAGCCATGGTGTGGGGCTCCCGGCCGCCTCCTAGGAGAGTGCAGGGCCGCGGGCACCCGGGAGCGTCCACAGCCTCCCCCAGAACTCACGAGCCACGCCCCCTTGTGAGAATGCCACCCCCACACCGTGTGGGGAACCTGCATGGTTCACTCCCCTGCTCTGGCTCCCGCCCACCCCACCCCCATCTCCTCAGCCTGTCCTGGGGAGGCCCAGTGGTCACTTCTGCACTTTGGGCTCAGCCAGCACTGAGGGGCACCTTGGCTTTACCAGACGTCTCTCGCTGGTGACCTGGATCCTTCCTCCAGGACGCCACCTGGCTCTGTCGTCAGGCAGATGAAGTTGCACAAGCGGAGGACTGGGTGCTCGGATCTCAAGTCCTTGCTTGGTCCTGGGGGCGCGGGGTGGCTCAGAGGTGCCCTGCGTGTGGGCGGGGAGATGGGCACCCCACGTGCCAGGAGCTCACGCTGGAGCCAGGGCAGGGCCGCGCCGCTCTCATCGATGCTTCGCGTCCGTCGCTGCTCCGTGTCCCTCTCCATGTCGCCTTCGCTGTCCATTGTTAAAGGCTTTCTATGATCTGTCGCTGTGTTTCCCTCTAGTCAGGAGTGGCAGGAAAGAACGCCGGCGCGTGCTCAGCCTGTCGGAGGCCGACAGTCACGGCGGCCACTGGGTTTAGTGCTTCGAACGGCAGCTGCCACGGCAACTGGTGCACAATCAATTCAGGCAGGTCTCCTCCAGGCGCCCCCCGGGCCCTTCCCGTCCCAGCACGCTTTAGCCGGCCAGCCCCGAGGGGGACACCAGGCTGATGTCAGCACCCCACCCCACCCCCGCCTCCCACAGAGCCGGCTCTCATGTGAGACCCCGTCCCCCAGCCCGTGCCTCCCAGGAGCTCTTCCTGCAAAGTCTGGAAACTGTCTGTGAAACACCACCCAAAGCCAACCCTGAGCCCCAAAGCCCCGGCCCCTGCCTGTCCCCACAGTGCCCTTGGGCGGTGGGGCTTGGGCAGCCTCGGAGTGGAGAGGTGAGGATTTGTGATAAGTGGCAAGTTCAGTCCCACAGCCCGGCTGGGAGCCAGGAGTCAGCTGGCTTCCAAACGCAGGGGTGGGTGGGAGGGCATCGCCTGGTGTAGCTCAGTGCGCATGCTCAGTGTCACCGGCTTGGTGCTCGGCCCTCCTGCGCCTCTCCTGAGACACGGTCCTGGGTTGCCAACCGCGCCTCTCCAATGGCATTTGCGCTTGCCAGTGGAGCCCTCCGCCCTCTTTTCTGTTTACGACTCTCCCTGGGAGGTTTCCTTCTCTCCGCCACATTCCCCCAGCCTCTCCCAGCCCACGCGCAACAAATCCACGTTTTCACTGGAAACTGGAGGTCACTGGACAGGATCCGAGGGGGCCCTGCCTCCATAGCTACCGACCGGCTGCCAAGGGTGAGGCTCCGGGGGCGCAGGCAGCTGCAGGAAGATCTTGCCCATCCTTGCCTTGGCCCCACTCCCCAGCCCAGGAGCCAGGAAGACAGACCTCTCGAGAAAGGAGAACGCAGCCCTTGTAGCAAAAACTGTGGGTGGGTCCATCCCCTAAGGAAACCAGCGTAGTGTACGTGGCATTGTTTGGTAGCTGGCCAGCTCTGCCAAGTCCCGACTGTCCACCTGATTTTACCGGCTTGAGCCCAGAGAGGACTTTCCCACCGAAGTCTGGTTTCTGTCTTGGTTCTTGTGCCTATACTGGGGCATGAACTCAGGGCCTTGCTCTGTTCCTTAGCGCTCGAGTCCTCTCCACGCTGCCTGTTAGATGACCTCCACGTGCACAGGTTCCCTGCTGGGGCACACGCTCAAAGACAGGGTGCTGAGCAGGTGAGCTCGCTCTCACCCCCACACCTCCGAGCAGCACGCCGGAGCCGAAGCCAGCCCCCTTCCTAGGCGTCTTTTCACCAGAATCGGTGGATGCCATGCACCGAGCACTTCCGGGCTCCGACGGGACCCCAGCCGTGATTTCCAGTGCCTCTCACTCTGCTCAGGGCCCCGCAGAGAGGCAGCGCGCGGTGTTTTCCTCTTACCTTCCTTCTCGCTCTCGCTTGATCCGCATATGGATTTTGTTTAGCTTCGTTTGGTTTTGATTTTTTAAAGAAAGGCCAGGCACAGGCCTCGCATGCATGGGGCCTCAAGTTCCATTCAGGAAGGGGGAAGGAGGGGAAAGACTGAAGGAAGACACTACTCCGAACCTTCCAGAACTGGGAGTCTCATGGGAGGAATGCCGTGTGCCATGGCAGAGTTGTCTGTGCCGTGCGTTTCGGGGGGGTGGGGGGTGGGGTCTCTTCCTCGCTTGCATCCCATGCTTAATGCTGTTTGTTTTTTTTACTTTGCTCTTTGTTCTGCCTCTGCTCTGTTTAGTTTGCCTTCCTATTTTATTTTTGGCTTAAAAGAGACCAAAAAAAAAAAAAAACCTAACTCAATTGGAATCATATTAAACCAAAATAATGCCTCCCGTCTTCCCGGGGCCCGGACACCACGCATGCGCACAGCGAGCACTAGCCTACAATGCTGCAGACAAATGAGAAATTGCTGCCCAGGCAGGAAGCCGCTGCCTTCCTCCCAGTCTCTCCATGCCCAGCCTCTAGTCCTGGAGAAACTCTCCCACTCGACCCCCAACTCCTCATGGCAAAGAAACAGGCCATCCTTTGTCTGCAAGGATTTGGAACAACACGAAGAAACAAAAAAGCCCAAAACCTGCCACTCTGGCCGTACCGGCATCAAGTGTTTTCTTGGTTCCTGGCCTGGGGTGGCACCAGCCCCTACATGGGCACAAGCCACAGTTTAAGGAAGTGTACGCTGGAAAGTTCCACCACATTCTTCATATTTTGCTGTGTTTTGATCTCACAAGGGGCACCCTCTCTGGGGAGGCTGCAGATGCAACCTGAGGGCCCAGGCATCCCCAAACTCTATGCTTCATAGGCCCAGATCTCCAGGAGGCTGGTCCCAACATGTCTGTCCATAAAGCCCGCCCAGGCCGGGTCTCCACCCGCAGGAAACTCTCTTAATCCCCGTGTTCATTCTGCGCAAGCCCCGGATGTTTCTCTGGGCCCTGACATGCTTTCCCCAGGCCTAAGTAAAACTAGAGTTGGCAGTGTCAGTGTCCCCCACAAGGAATACATGGCCCCCAGCTCTGCCGCCCCCACCCAGATTTCCCCCGGGCCTCGAGTTGGGGTGGGAATGGGGGGGTGCCGGCCCGAGTGCGGCATCGCCAGCACTAAATGAGTCCCCACTTTCTCTCCCCGCTAGACGCCCCCATGACTCCGGAGCAGACTCAGACTCCCCTGTCCGACAAGTTGGTGATGGGCAACGACACGGAAGTAGACCCCAGGCCCAGCAAGACCTTGTCTCGGGGTGCTGAGGTGGAGACCGCACACCTGTCCCCCAGCCTGCTTCCCGCCCCGCAGCCCACCATCTCCCTGCTCTACGAGGACACTGCCGACACCCTGAGCGTGGAGTCCCTGACGCTGGTCCCTCCGGTGGACCCCCACAGCCTCCGTGCTCTGACCGGCGTCGCCCAGCCCTCCACGCCAGCCCCGGCATGCCCGGCCACGGGGGACCAGGAGGCCACGGGGGCAGAGACGGAAGGTCCCCCCGCCATGCACTGAGTGGCCCGCCCCCTGCCTTGTGTGTGGCCAGCTGGCAGGAACCCCAGTAGATGGCAAGACACATGGGACCGCCCACGTCTCCCTGGAGCCCTCTTTTGCTCTGTACCTCATTGAAGCAGGCCGGGCCCGTGCGGACGGCCCAGTGCGTGCTGCTGACAGTTGGGGGGCTGCCTTGTCCCTGAGCCCGACACCCCAGGTGGCAGGACCCACCAGGGCTCTCCGCCCCGCTCCCCCCCTCCCCCTAGCGGGCACGGAAGACCCAGACAGTATCACCTTCCATTCGAAATGAGGAGAAAGCAAACTCAGACATCTCCTTGGGCTGTTTATTTCTGCTTCCAGCAGTAGGTGAAACAATTTATTTAAGAAGCATCTGTTTGAAGCAAAGAAGTCCAAACACAAAAACAAAAAAGAAAGAAAGGACACCCTCAGCCTCAGGACGGCGCAGGCCCCTCCTGGCCCGCTCTCCTTCCCCGGCTCTCCTTCCCGCCCTCAGTGTCTGACATTGAGAGTTTTGGTGTCTCTCCCTTTTCACCAAGGCTTCTTATTTCTCTGCACTAACTCTCAGGAGCCTGTGAGATGGTAAAGCTTAGCTTATTGTCAAACAGAAGCAAGAGAGAGCCACGTGCTTTCCGGTGGCATGGAGCGAGGGTTCTGGAAGCTTCTCTGCAGTTGGCTGAATTCCCTGAGGGCCATCTCTCCAGGAGAAGGGAGGTCTCAGCAGCTCCCGCTCAAAACAGCAGCCTCCCCTCCCAGTGCCGTCTCCCTCTGGGCTGTGAAGACCGCCCAAGCCCATACCTGTGACTGGAGCTAACATCGGGGGAGCTACCCGCGGCCATGATTGCTGCCCACTGCGTGTGGATGCCCGGTGAGGACCCCCGCGGCAAGACCGGCCTCCCCAAACCATCTACAACTCTCCTTCCATCGCGACTGCCACTGCCACAGGACGAGCTTGTGGCAAACAAAAAGAAACCCTCCCATACGCCACCCCACACACCCAGCTGGGCCCAGGCAGCCAGGATTCCCGTGTCCAGTTCAGCTCCAACGCCTTCCTCCCTGGCTTAGCTGCAGGCGTGGCTGCCGCAGCCTGTGAGAAGATCGCCATCCAACCAGCTTCCCCGCATGGGCCGAGGCCCCGCCTCCACATCCCACCAGGACTGAGACCCTGCTGATAAGGAAGGCAGAATCCAGATGCGCCTCGACCACGAGCAGTGATGAGCCCCGGCCGCGAGCATCGCCCCTGGGGAGGAGAGACCGCCAGGAGTGGGAGACGAGAAAGATGGCCATCCAGAGGGGAGCCCCGGCCACGGCTCCGGCACCCCCGCAACCGCGTGTGTGGCTTGATCTTCTAAAGGAAAGGGATGACACGGGAGCAGGCTGACCCCACAGGAGCAGGCTAGCCCGGGGCACTTGTGGTTTCGAAATGCCCGTCTCTGCAACAGCCGAAATGAGAACAGACGTGCCAGCGCCCCCGTGCTGCCTCGCTGCGCACGCAGGTGGCACCCTGCCTGCGAAGCCCCTACCTGTTCCCAGTCCAGCATCTGCAGCCGGCCTGGTGGCCACCGGCATGGGAGGAGCAGTCGTGGGCGGTGCCAGGCCCTCCCCCGGCTAGGTCTGTGAGGTCTTTCCCCCGGGACTGGCAGCGTGCCCCCCCCCAGGCACCTCCAGGGCCCCTGGGCTCCAAGGGGCTTCACTGGCGAGGAGGGATGCGTGCCCTCATCTCGGCACTCAGGAGGCCGCCAGCCTCGGGGACTGGAGAAGGACCTCCTTACCCAGGTCTTAGCCCTCTTGGGGCAGTGGGCATGGCTGTGTCTTCAGGAGCACCCCATAATCTTAACAGCTGGGTCCCACCAGGCAGGCCCATCCACAGAATGCACTGGGTCTGGTCCCAATGGTGGGAGGTGAAGCCAGGGGCGTGGATGCACACACACACACACACACACACACACTCACCCCAGGCCACCACAGCTTCCAAGCTGGAGGTCCTGGGCAGCCCCGCCCGGGCGTTTGGCAGAGAGCTCCATGGCTGCGCTTCCAGGGCTGCCGACGGGCTCACTGGGCTGGCTTTGTGGGGCTGGTCACAGGAACCCCACACCGCGGCTTTAGGCCTGGTCATGGGCCGTGCAGGGCCTCCCTTCCGGAGGCATGGGCAGGGCACTGCCTCTGGGGGGACCTGGGCGCAGAGTGCCCCCCAGATGGACAGAGACAGCAGTGGAGCCTGAGAGCTAGGGGAGGATCCGGGAGCAGCACCCCACTGCCACGCAGCCCCCCTGCCCACCCCATCCCGGGCACGGGCATGAGGCGTTGGGTTTCCCGGTGGTCTGAGACGCACTGTTTTGAGTAAGGTGCCCAGGATCCGGTTCTGGTCTTTTCCTAGATGCAATAAATACGAACCATTGAATACAGTCACAATGCAGTTGACGGCAGGCCTACACTGTAAGGTTCCTCCTTCCGAACTTGATTCTGCAAACGTGTCAATAAACCCTGATCTCAGAGAGGAGCGGGGCTTCGGCCCCCGAGCCTCCCTCCGGAGGCCCATGTGACTCAGGCTCTTTCCGAACACGAGGTGGAACTCCCTTGTAAATTCACACCTGGCAATAAAAGGACAAAGTTACCAGCAGTGTGGCCTGCCGCCCTCGGTGCTGTGGTGGGATTCAGAAGGGAATGTCCGGGGCTGCACTGGCCCTTGTTTCACCCCTGCTGGCCGGAGCCCCCCTGCCTTGACCACCCCACCCGAGGCTGCTGGCAGCTAGCAGGGTGATGGTCCCACCCTATTGAGGCCTGCCAGGCGTGCAGCTCCCCCCCCCCCAATCCAGAACACCATGAAAACCCAGAGCCACACCTCAGACCAGGCAGGGAATACCCCATGATGCATGTTCCTGGGGACCCCGGGCACATCGTAGGTGCTCAGCTCTCCAGCTCCTCCTGAAAAGCCTAGTGACCCCTGCCATGCCCCTGCCAGGGCGTGGCGTAGGCCAGGGCCCCTCTGGGCTGGGTCTTCCTTTGTAAAGCGCCAGCCAGCGCCAGTCTTGAGTCCTTGGAAGCTCAGGGCAGAGGGTCCGGGGGGCTCAGGTGGCATCTGTGAGTTCCGCTGGGGCTACTCAGGGGTGGCTCCTTTAGGAGGTGGAGCCTAGGGGAGGACTGTAAGTCATTGGAGGTGGTGCCCTTGGAGGGGACAGTGGTAGCCCCACCCTCCCACTGTAACAACACACCACTTGAGGCCCAAAGCAACAGGGCCAGGGGGTCATGGCTAAAACCCTCCAGAAGCACGTGACAAGACAAACCTTCCCTCTCTATAAGTCGATTGCCCCTGGTTGGCTGTTACAGTGGTGGAAAGCTGACCAACAACAACCCGGTCTGCCCGTGGTTGCTTTGGTGGCCAGCACTTGTGGCTTTTCCTCTGTAAGCGTCTATTCTCATGTCCAGCTCAGGCTGCGTCAGCCACTGTCACAATCTCCTGGCCTAGCAAGGATAGGCCTCCAGAACCCGGAGGCTGGGCCTAGACGTGCATCCCAGGGGGTCCTGACAGCCCCAGGTGAGGGTCTCACCTGGAGGGGGGGAGCAGACAGACTCCCAGCCAGCTGGGTGCTAGAAACCCCCTTCTCCCCCGCCCTCCCTGCCTGCATCTTCCGGGTGCTTCCAGGCTCTCAATCACCGGGGACTTGTTCAGAGCTGGGCGGACCCCAGCTCAGCCTCGCCTGCTACTCCACTACCTGGTTCTCAGGCCTTTGGGCTTGTCTGGAGCTCCACCAGCCCTCCTCCTGGCCTGAAAGCCCTCCCCCACCCTCCCCCTCCAGCTTTAGCCACAGCACGGCGCCACCCTGCAGAGGTTGTACTGAAGTCTGCCCCCACAGAGTGGCCAGCTGAGGTCCCTGTCCTCAAGGGTCACACTTGGGGACATGGCTGCTGTGGGGGCTGGGGCACAGTCCACCTGGTCAGCAGGGGAGGCCAAGATTCACCGTTCACAACGGTTCCCAAGCCTCAGTTTCCCCCTCTGCTCCTCCTTTGGGCACCAGGAGGCTGAAGGGACCTAAGGATGGCGGGGCGGAGGGCGCCGCGCTCGTTACTAATGAATGAAGGTCTGGGCGGCCGTGGCCACGCCACCACGATCGATGAATGAGCCAGCAGAGATGTGAGTCAGTGAATGAATGGCCCAGGGCCACTAGGAGGAGGCCAAAGGTCAGGTGGCGGCTGGCCCATGGCTCAGGGTGCACGTATGATGCCCCACTTAGTTTTGGGGTGGTGCCCAGCATCCTGGCGGGTCCTCCTGAGTCACCATCCTGGCCCTGACGCTGACTGGGCCTGAAGTGAGTCAGGATTTTTAAGGCAACCAGCAGGAACTGGCCTGGGGGGGGGGGGGGGGAGGAGGGGGAGGGGCTGCGGGAGCTGTGGGCGGAGCCAGGGGCCAGGCCCCTGTGGTGGGGGCAGGGTAACCCCCCCCACACACACACACACATGAGCACACACGTGACCTGCCACGTGCCACCTGATCCCAGCCTACAACAGTGAAAGTCTGGGCTCCTTCCCTGGACCCCCCCCCCCCAGCTAATGGTCTCCCTACTCCCATTTTTGCAGCAAAGGAGAGTCTCAGGACAGCTGCCACTAAGCCACCTGCTGAGGAGCCTCTTGGGGGTTCCTGGCAAGGGAGGGCTGGCGCGGAGGTGGGGGGGGTCAGTTGGACCCCTGAGAGGCATGCAGCCGCCCCGAGGAAGAGCCTTCACCGGGGCTGCGGGGCTGTGCGCGGCGGCGCCGGGGAATTCGGTGCTGGGGATTCTGGGCCGTCGGAGGCAAGGCAGGGGCTTTCTTGGCCCCGCACAGAGGCCGCTCAGAGGAAGCAGGGGTTGCATCCGTCTGTCCTCCCTCCCAGGGAGTGGCTTTGCTCAAATAGAGCAGCCTATATGTTATGCAGAAAAAGGAGAGCCTAGAGCCGTGGCTCCCGTCTGTAATCCCAGCTGCTCAGGAGGTGGAGATGGGGAGGGTTGTGGTTCAGAGGCAGCTAGGACCATCGGTTCGTGAGACCCTATTTCGATCAGCAAGCTAAATATGGTGGCACACATCTATTGTACCAGCTGCATGGGGCAGGGGCAGGGGGAGGGTGGGAAATAAGTAAGAAGATTGTGGTGCAGACTGGCTTCAGGTAAAAGCCCATGACCTAGTTGAGAAATAAAGCAAGAAGAACCGCAGGTGTGGCTCATGGCCGACCTCAGGTAGGCAGGTGCAGGGTCCTGAGTTCGAGACCCAGTACTGTCACCACACACACACACACACACACACACACACACACACACATTTGCATAGGGCCGAGGATTAACTGAAACCACCGTGCTTGCCTAGCACGTGTGACTCCAAGAGAGGAAAGAGTTTTGCATAGGAAAATGAGGGAAGGTGGTTGCGCCCCGCAGCTTTGGTAATGGAGGAGGAAGGACAGGGTCTAGCTCACAGGCATGATGTCCCCTAGCTGCCCACTCCATGATGGTGACACAGGTCCTAGGAAAGGGGGGGGGGTCCCCTCAGATGGAATCAGACAGACCACCATGGGCAGTGCCAGCCAGGAAGTTAGGGGCTCTACAGGGTGAAGGCTGCCTTGTTTCCTCCTCCAGGAAGCCTGCCCAGATTTCCTGACCAGGCACATGGCCTGCCTTCTGAGGAGCTCAGGGTGCCTGGGGGAGCTCTGTCCTCTTACTAGAACCTTCCTCCCACCACTGGGCCCCAACTCAGTGACACTGCTCACCCCCGGGGATCATCCAGCCATCAAGAGCAGGTGTGTGTGCAGGGGGCTGGGCACCGTGAGCCCCCTGGGACGTCAGCCCCTGGCATTCTCCCTCCCCCACCCCGGCTGGGAGACACAAGGGTCCCCAGGGCGGCGGTAGGCACTGTCACCCACGAGGTCCTGGGCTTCCAGGCACCTGGTGGTGCTGAGGCCCCCGATGGCTCCCCAGTCCTCGGGACCCTGCCCACACGGCAGGGGGCGGGGGGGGGGTCAGGTTCAGGCATCCTGCGGGAACCCCTGCATCCTGGGAAGGATGGGGGCAAACAGGGAGGGGAGGCGAGGGGGGCCAGGTTGCAGCTGACAGCTTCGCGGTGCACTTTGACCCCCAGGGAGCGCACAGCTGGCTGGGGCCCCGCCCCCTCTTCCTCCCCCCCTCCCACTGTAGACTGCTGGGATCCCCAGGGGTGACTCCCCCAAAGTGGGCTAGGGGACGGCCTTGGGGCCCGAAGACTGCTTGTCCAGCCTTGCTGGGGCTTCTGTCCAGGGGCTGATGGGAACGAGCAGTCGGGCCAGCCCAGCCTGGCTCATGAGATAATGTGGCCCCACTTCCTGTTACTGGAGCTATGCAAATGGGGGGGACTGGGCCTCTCCTGGGGTTGGCTTCCTGGAAGGGAATAACTTCCCGGTACTGACAGTCCCTAAACACCTGGTGGCGGGGGGGGGGGGGGGGGGGGGGGGACTGTAATAGCCCAGCCCCTTCCTCTCCCAGCAAGCAGAAGCTATGTGTTGAAACCCCAACACCTAAGTAGACACCTGTGCCAGCCAGCCCAAGCTCCCCACTCCATGCTGGCTTCCTCAGCTTCCCGGACACCATGGATGGAGTAGAAAGTGGGCGGCTTCAAAGGCTTACAACACGCTCCTCTTGCAAATAAGGAAACTGAGGTCATCCGACAGGGCCTGGGACTTGCCTTCCTCGCTCTTGCCTGGATGGGCCCCCACAGCAGCTGGATTGCTGATGGTAACACCTCTTGATAGCCCCCCCTGCCCCCCCTCGCTCATGTGGTTCCTGCCCAAGTGAGTCTCTCCCCAGCCCAGCTGGTCCCCAGGGCCAATTGTGAAGCGCTCAGCTAAGTCTGTCCCTCCGCTGCCCTGGCAGATCGCCCCAGAGGAAACCAGGCGTCAGGAAATATGGCCTCCTTCCTGGGTGATCCTGCCTCCCTGTGATGCCAACCCAGTCCGGATCCCTCTAGTTCCTCCAGGGTTTTGGTTTAAGCCACGGTATCAACCTGGCACTCATTATCAACACCTTTGTTCCTCTGACACCCAGCCTCACCACTTCCAGGAAGCCTTCCCAGGCTGGGCGCCTGCACATGCTCAGTGTGTGCACCCCTGGCTGTCCTCCCCCATAAAGCCTGTGTCCCCCACAGACTGGGGTTCCAGGAGCTGTTCCAGTAGCTGTCAGAGGAAAGGTGTGCACAGTGGGCGTAAGGTAGGCACAGGACTTTTGATCCTCCAGGGCTGGATACAGGATGGGTCAAGGTCTAGTTGAGTAGAGTGTCAACCATGTCTCTCCCAAGTTGGGGAGCACTGGGGTTGGGGAAGATACAGAGCTTCACTCATCTATGTGCTCCCTTCCCACTGTCTGCATTTCAGAAACTTGGAGCTTCTCATTGGAGGAGCTCAAATAAGCCCATGCGTACTTTCCCAGACTCCCTTGCAGCTAGAGTGAGGCATGTGACCAGGCTTGGCCAATCAGAGAAGCTGCTCTGGAGTCAATGGGAGAACTTCCTGGTGGAGAATTTTTCATGGAGCCCCAGGGGCAGCTGAGATGCGGGGGCATTGCCAGGCTGGCTCAGTGGTGGCAGTGGAGTTGGGGTCTGGTCTCCCCTTTCTGCCTGCTTTTACATGTG